TTCTCTGCCCTGCAGAGACCCTCAACAGCAGGCTTTTTATTTTCAAACACTTTCCCTTGCCTGGATATCATATCCCAGAGTTTGTAAGGCATTCCTTCAGTTTCCTGTTATAAAAACAGCACCTGGTGGGTTGCAGCAGAGCCTTCATATTTATTTCGGACACTTTGAACTAAAACAAACAAACAAAATGATAACTGGATCTCTGAGCCTGGGAGATCACTGTGTGTGGCTTAAAAGACATGCAAGGCATTGTACAATATCGAGGAGGTTTGTTTAGCAGTTTCTTCTAGGTATTACTGTCCCTGAGCACAGCAGGCATAAGCCACTCAACAACACTTTGCCTGAAGGATCTCCTTCTGGGACACATATTTAACTATGTAAATGTAGCTGCAATGATGCTTTCTGTGCTTTAACAGGAAACACTTTCATGAAGTACTGCCATCTCATAAATGTTTGCACACATCAGATATTGGCTACTTTCATGGCAATATGCAGCCCTTGATCCTGCCCTTCAACACCAGGTACTGAAACTAAAATTGATTAAAGTCAAGGGTTTAGGTATAAAAGTGAAAATATACTACTACAGGTGAAAGAGTATGAACTTGATCAATATTTCACCTTTTTTATTATTTATTATTTATTTTCCTACTTAAAATTTCTAAAATGTAATCTATTTGCCACAGGTACATGATCCAATATTTAGTTTTCCATCAAAGATATAAAGCTTCATGATAGGGGATATATTGGGAAACACTCTCTGGTCACTCAGTGTTGAACCTATTATGTAACTAAGTGTAGTGTTTGTCTGTTCAAATTCAGACCAAATATGTACATCTGAATATTCTACCTTCTTCTGCATTTCCTTATTTCTCTGTGTTCACTGTAATGCAAGTTGCTGTAACTAACTTTGATTCAGTTGTCTACCTAGAAGGGCGAAAAGTCACTGGAGATGCTCTCAGATGTCTGACATCCTTAAAGGGTTTTATAAGAATCAGGCTATTTTTGGACAAGCAGCTGTGTAGAGTGTGCCTCCTGTTGACAGAATGACAAAACTATCTTTTGTCTCCCTAAAAAGGAAAGAAGCCCAGAAGTTTCTTTCATCGATTGGGTGAAAAACCACCTAATAGGACTTTGGAAACTTCACCTCAGACTTAAGGATAGCTAATTAGATAGAAGCCAAAAAGTCCTGCTTGGATAATTTAGTAGAAAAATAAGACAACAAAGGAACTAAGGGCTTTTGTGTTTTACTAGGAGCAAGATCTTTTTCACCTGGCTCAGATTTTCTGTTTGTTATTTTGCCTTTTATTAAACTTTTTTGTTTCCAACACTACAGCAGAAGTCATCCTGCTTATTTCTATGCCTCCAAAGGTAGCTGAGCTATCTTGGGTGTATTATAGACCTCTGAGAGCTTATTAGACCTGGCTCGAGGAGGCTAATATAACACAGCTGTATGCCAAATGTGATGCCTCTCTTTCCTACACCTATTATAGACCTCTGAGAGCTTATTAGACCCGGCTCGAGGAGGCTAATATAACACAGCTCTATGCCAAATGTGACACCTCTCTTTCCAACACATAAAATGGCTGTAGGTAGCTGTTTAACCAAATGAATCCAAGGTATAAATTTAGACTCTACAAATACCAATAACTAAGTAGAATTATTTGCCTCTCACAAGTTTTACAATCTTCTTAAGCTCGTCACTTCTTCATCAACATAATGCTACATTTTGCTGCATTTGGGGTGGTGCTCACACTTACTTAACACTTCTGACACAAACTGAACTGTTTAAACAACACAGCAAACAGATGAAATTTTGCTCTGTCAAAGTATGAACTTGTGTTCTGATGCTGTAATATTAATCACAATGTTTGTGGAAATTCTTTTGCTAATTATTTTTTCTAAACCAGAGCAGGACAATACTTTAAATTTCAGCTGTTTACACAGTTTCCAAGCTGATGCTGGGGACATGACTGCGATACTTGTCAGCTTTGCTTTATGCAGACTTATGCAAACATGGTATTTGGATTTTAATTTCCAAGCTATTTAACTTCTCCTCTACTGAAATTATAAATTTCATCAGACAAAAAAATCCCCCTGAATCTCAGATGAGACTTCTGAATTTTACCATCTTTCCAGTCAAAATATTAGTTCTAGTATGATTTTATTACTAAACTAGACATTTATCAGTAATTATTTTAAATACTTGGGAAACTGAAATGCCTTTTCTGTAACATAATTCCAGCTTCAGACATGTGAGGAGACTAAAACCAAACAAGTTTACTTTATTTCTGGTCTGTTCTGCTAAAAATGATTGGATATCTCTCATTGCAAGTATGCTGTGAACTGTGGAAGTTAAATTCATTTACAGGGAAGGATCACTTCTTTTACAGATTATGATATATGGAAGGTGGCATATATGTTTAAATCCTGATTCATAATGGACAACAGAATCTACTAATTTAAATAAAAAGGATAGTCTAGGTTTAGGAATTAAATCTATACTTTTACTTATTAGAACTAAAAAAACCCCTAGCAATATAGCACAGCTCTGTTCAAATACGCTGTTTTAAAGGAGAGGGTTTTTTCAGTGATTTTTTTTCACCAGATGATATCTATAGATATTTTTTGGACTTCTCATTTCAATAAAGTCAAATTGTGGCATAGATTTATGGGGCTGAATAGGTGACAGGTTGTTGTATGTATGTTCTAACAGTGTATTCATTTGAGATCAGAGATTATACATAATGATTTATGGCATTTTGATGGATCGAAGGAAAACATATGAAAACCTTTTTTTTTTTTATAACACTGCTTGCATGGGAACTCCCAAAGTCTACAATTTTCATTTGAGGCTGGAAAGAAAAAATAATTCCCATCAAAAGAAATCCCTATTTTCTGATATATTGTAAATTAAATTTTCACTAGAAATTGCACCTGGCTGTCACTGATTATTATCTAGTCACATTGTCTTCAGATTCAAAACACATCCAGAGGAAGTTGGTTATTTCTTCAGCTGCAAGATCTAAGAATATTTTTCATCTTTATATGATTTAGCTTTTATAATTTTTTGTCCTGCATAAGGCTCAACCTTTCACTACTCTGATAGTGTATCTGTTAATACTGGAAAAAGTTACTTAGTTATACCTATAGCACTTACTGAACTGCTTTGTTTTGTAGACGAGAATTGAATTTTTCACTTACTGAAATTAGTCTTTTTGAACATGAGAAGACCTCACTAAAACTCTGAAGAAATTATGAAAACATTTTTTTTCTTTTGTTCTACTTAAAAACCTTCCCCCCCAAAAAAACCCCTTGATATATCTTGATGGTGACAATCCACCAAAATACTTCCAGTGAAGCATTGGTTGACTTATGTTTTTCTACACAGGTTACTGAAAGCACATGATGAGGAAAAGTTGTATTCCTTCCTTCTCAACATCTGTTCTGTCACTCTTGCTTCTTGTATGTCCACTTGCATTGTACTCATACAGCTAATTTTCACAAATTCCAGGCAACAGAACGGGATTGATAAATCCACATGAAATATCAGGGTGCACTGCTTAGTACAGCAGTGAAGATTAATTCATTCTAGCAGTTTGGTTTTTTTTTTTAAAGCATCCAGCAGACTTTTTCAGACAGTATGTTTGACTTTAGCTGACTCTTCCCTTAATGCTTTTTTTCAAGACTGCAGGAAGGATATTTGAGTACATACAGCAGAAGTTCACAAAAAGCAGCTTTCAAGCTGCTTTTAGAGAAAAGAGTACTTTTAATGCAGGCACCAAAAAAAATTGTTCTTTTTAAGAATGACTGTCCTTTGTAGCTTCTGCTAAACCAGCTTAACAAGAAAGACAACACCATGACTAAAACATTTATACTTTGTTATAGACACTTTGAATAATAATAAAAAAAAAAAGATTCACAAGTTTATTAATCTTTCCTAATGATACAGAAAGGAAAGAAGCACCTAAACAATGAATACTGATGCAGAAATTCAGACTGTAAAATCAATATATCAGCTCAGTAGAGCTGAGCTTTTTTCTAATGCTGCTGTTCCAGCAGTAGAGTTTACCTTCTGAATTATATATGTATTGACCTAATTACATAAATATTGACTTTGCTTTATATGAAGCTTTTTTCAGCCTTGGTGTAATTACAATGTCAATATTTGTTGTATGTAATAACACTGAATTTAGACTTGTTAATTTTGATTGATAGTGGCATGCCACAAGTTATTATATGGGATAAGACAGTTAGTCTACAAGCATGCATAGCAGATACAAGTAGCTGACAATGCTACCAAATTTCAGTGTGTCTCTAAGACCTTCTGTTTCCCAAGTTTAATCAAGCAGTGGAAATATTAATGGGTGGTTACATCCTTGTTCCATAAGAGTACCGTTTTGAGGTGGAGAAATATTTACCCTGGGAAAAAAAAAAGTACAAATATTCAGCTGGGAACTCAGTAAAAGGGTTCCTGTTTAAAGTTAGCTTTAGAAGTTTTCCTTACAATATTGTAAATCTATTTAAATTGTGCCAAAATTGAGGTTTTTTATAGCAACAACTATATTTTTCTGCATAACTTCCATGAGTTATACATTATTTTGCTATAATATTGGGACTCAGACACAAGAAATTTCACATTAAATTATTTCCTATTTCTTCAAATCCAAGAAAGATGTGAGCAGTGGACTTTTAGGTACTACTGGGACTTGCAAAACCATTAGATTCAGTCTGTAAATGGTTGTTGAGACATATTTCTACAAGAACAACTTTGTTCAGAGTTGGCAGACCTCAGAAATGCTTTCAACGATGAATAGCCATATAGTATAGTGCATATTTCTAGATGCAATTATAAAGCATTTGAATTTGGCAGTAACATGAGAACTAGAAACCAAACTGTAACAGTCTGTGCACTGATGATATTTAATTTTTTTCTAGCTATAATATGTTGCCAGTAGTGACAAGGCATGCATCATACTGTATTTTCTTATTTGTCTCAGCAGGGATGCCAGACAAGACGAGCCTCAGTGACGTAAAGCAAATCCATCAAACCAACGATGGCAGCACTTTAGACACAACTGGAGCAGGATGTACAGCAATGGCCGATTATATGACATTTATGCTGATTAGTTTGGTAATACCGTTTCTCAGTCTTTGGTAACTGCTTATTTCTGGCTTGATATATGTATCTCACTGTCATCTATTTATCCCTACTCACAAGCCTGGAATAAAGGATCTGGTGAATGTAGCAATATTTATGGTATCTTGCAGAAGATCAGCTAGTGATCTTAGCGCAGAATATTAACAAAAAGTTTTGTGCAATATTTTACCTGTTTTTGTTTATTTTAACACCTGTATAGCCGTAAAAAGTCATGTTTTCTTTTTTAATATTTTATATTGAAAAAAAGTTGTTTATGGTAATCTTTCTCTTAAAAGCAATTTGTAAAAAAAGAGTATTACCAAGTTTGAAACTGTCTCTGGAGATCATCTAGACCCTGATGCTCATAGTAGACTCACTTCTTGCAAGTTTCCTAAGACCAAGTTCAGTTTACATTGGAATGTCTCCAAGGAGCGAGACTTTACTGACTCCCTGGGCTAATGGTACTAGTGCTTCAACACTCCTAGGAGATATTTTTTAGCTGCTGTATCTCAGTTTGTGCCTCTTGCCCATTTTGCCCACTGAGTCCTGTCACAGCACCAAGAGTTTTTTCTCCATCTTCTTTGTTCCCTTTATCAGGTATTTACACATCTTCAAAAGATCCCACTCTGCATCTTTTCCCGGCCAAACAGACCCAGCTGTCTCAGCCACTCCTTGCACAAGTTTTGTTCCCATACCTTAAAAATATTCACGCCCTTTGCAGGAATCCATCCACTATGTCCATGTCTCTCTTGTCACTATCCTTCAGAGCTCAGACCTGAACATAACATTGTAGATGTGTCTGACCAGTGGAGAACAGAGGGGAAGGATGACCTTCTTTGACCTGCTGATATTTTTCTGATTCAGCCCAGAAGTTGTTGGTTGTCTTTGCTGTGAAGGCACAGTTTGAGCTCCTTTTCAGCTTGGTGTCCCTTAGGACCACAAGGTCCTTCTCTGCAAAACAGTTTTTCAACCAGCAGGCACCAGCCTGTACAGGTATATGGGGTTATTCCTCCCAAGGAACTTTCTGAGATTCCCATCAAGCCCATTCTTCAGTCTGTCAGGGTCCCTCTGAATTCAGAATTATTTTTTTATAGTTCAGAAAAACCTACATGTTAGATACTATATATTATATGATAGCTGATTTTACCTAGGGATAGCATCAATGTTAAGATTCAGTGTTGGATTAAGGTATTTTAACATATATGTCAACGTACAGATATTTACATATGTGTTTTTTAAGCTGTAACTGTAGTCATTGGATTCCAAAATACCAAGAAGTGCCAGTTGTGCTGCCTAAAAAAACCCCACCTGGTGTCCACTACTGTTCTGAATGGCCTCAGGTCTTTCTCTGGGCAAGTGACCCTTTGTCAACACAGTCAGTGAAGCTCAGTGCATTTTTCAGCTCATATAAAGGCAGATACCCAAAAAAGCAACTCAGTTGCCTGAAAAGGAATTACTGGTGCCACCTAAGATTTCTTGGAGTATCCAAGACATTCTCAGGGGACTGGCATATATGATTCAGGACTTCTGAGATATTCCAGAGGCTTCCTTAAATGGGAGCCATGGGGACTGGCTACTGGCAGCTGAGTGGGACATCTTCAACTCAGACAGATCTAGACATTCCCATGTGGGCCCATGAATCATACACCAAACCTCCACCAATATTACTGGTAGCTTAGATACCTGTTTGGAGTGGTGACACATGAATGTAAACCTGAATCACAACAACCCCCAGCTCAAGTTCTTATGCTTCATAAAATGAGGCAAGCAAAATGTGCCACAGTACTAATTTATTACTGTTAAAAATTTTGATGCATCTGCCATTACTAATTCTTGTGTCATTTTAACCAGGAAGTATTTAAGAATATTTTGTAGTTACTTCTCCTGTAGAGCATTTTACAAGAGGAAAAAAACCCAAACACTACAGTATTGTATGTATTCATATGATAACTAGAACTCTTTCTAGACAAAAAAATGTTAGTCTTATATAAGACTAGTATAAGGAAATATGCATAAATATTTTTATTCCCAAATGTATATGTTAGTCATTAACGTACACAGTATAACATCCAGTATAATAAATAGGTAAACTGACATAAAAGTTAGAAAAGCATGTGAACATTTCTATGAACAATTGTATGCCCAGATAAATATCATTATTAGGCGTCTGTGCCAGTGTGCACATTTTCCTTGACCTCATTTTTCCTTTCCAGATGTTGCAAATCAATCTTTCAAATTCACTTGTCTTGTTTACTTGAAATTATGACATTGGAAATTCAGGGAAGGAAAATGTGAATTCATTATTTTCCTTTGTAATGTCAACTCACACTAGTAATCAATTTCAAATTCACTTGTCTTGTTTACTTGAAATTATGACATTGGAAATTCAGGGAAAGAAAATGTGAATTCATTATTTCCTTTGTAATGTCAACTCACACTAGCAATCAATCCAGTTTGGCAACTTTATTTTGAACAGTGACCAGTATCAGTCATTTCAATGAAAATGGAATAAGGTTTTGAAAAGGAGACACAGAAATGCAGAAAAAAAATTCCACAATTACTCATTACTCAGAATTTTATTTATGTCCTGAAGCACTTTTTTTCCATTCCTAACTTTTGTGTGTTTTTCAAGACCTAACAAAGACAGATAGTCCAGGTAGAGTAGTTTTTTTCTAGAGAATCTAGGAAATAGGAGCCTCATTTTCAAATACTGATAGTAATTAGTCCTAAGACCTCTTCAGGTATATGTGAATTACTAGTCAGTAATACTCCTTTCTTTTGGTTTTCTTGGCTTAATCCCATTATCTTCAACAGTGTACCTACACAGAATGACTTCTAAGATTCCTTTTGGAGTGGAAAATTAGTTTTCTCCTTCCCAGACACAAATGAACAAACTAGTAGCAATAAGAATAATAGTGTCAGGTCTGGAGATTTCTCACTCACTACTCTGCCACGAGACCTCATTCACCCTCCCATTCCATCCATCTCTAGGCATCACCATGCACTCCACACCATTGCTCAGAGTCATACATCTGCCAGGCTGCATCAAGACTTTCTCACTAAATCTACCATGCTATGAAGTAATATTCTAATTTCTTAAAGAAATATTATATAATCTTTAAAACAGGTCAGAGCAAGAAGGGAGGCAAGGTTCTTTGATGATCTGCCCCAAGGTCACCCTGCAATGGAGGTACCATTGCATGAAACTTTGGAAACCTGCAGAATTTTGTATAACTCCACATTTGGAAGGCTGGGTGGTAAAAAAAGACCAAAATGCCCCGATGTTGCTGTGCTATGCTAAAGCAAACAATGGAAAGGGGAATGGCACTGAACAGAAACATGAAGAATGATTTAGAATAGCCAAGATGAGAAACAGGAAAAAAAAGTTAAGCTGGAGATTGTGGTAATGGAGTATAAAACCACCTCCATCCACATGAAATGGTGGACTTTTCACAGTATGTATGTGAGTCAATCTGGGTCAATTGCCTGGGCATTTCCCAACATGAGGTCACACAGGCTGCACAGGGCTGCCTCTGAGCTCCTCAGATGACCTCAGAAATGACATGTAAATCTTGTTTATTCTGCTTCCTTTCATTTGCTTATACTGGGGCATTTTTAACATCGGAATCTTCTCTGTATTTCCCAGAACATCTGGTAAATAAGATTTTGCCTTTATTTTGCCTTCTTTTAAATAAACTTTTCATGTATTATAACTGTTGTGGTTTAAAATAGGAATGCTTTACTCAAAGTGCACTATTTCTCAGACAGACACTCACTCAAAGACTGATCATACTAAAATTGCAATATTAGAGTTGTACATCTGGCCTTGGTATTTTTTTTTTATAAATAGAAACCATAAAATAAAAGAGCCTTGTTAGAAATAATTTCTTGGAGGACAGTCTGGTTACTTACAATAAAATTCCAGGAAAGGAATAATTCTAAAAAAAATACAACGCTTCAGAAATCCATAATATTTTTATTTGATAAAATCAAAACATTCCTCTTCTACCCTGAGATCAAGAGAGGCCCTATACTTAACACACCCATTTGTTAGGGAAGCCTGCTGCCTCCCTGAGTACAGCCCTCAGATCATTGCTGTCACTGGATTTTCAGGAAACCCAAGGTCAACCAAAAAAACTGAGGTGCCACAGTGTGTCCAGAGAAGTGCAAGGGAGCTGGTGACAGGTCTGGAGTGTCTGAGGGAGCTGGGATTGTTTAGCCTAGAGGAAAGGAGGCTCAGAGGAGATCTTATCACACTACAAATACCAGAGAAGAGGTTGTACAAAGGTGGAAGTCAGCCTCTCCTCCCAGGAAAGGAGCTACAGAATGAGGGGACACAGGCTCAAGTTGTGCCAAGAAAAGTTAGATTGTATATCAGGTGTAATTTCTTCATAGAAAGGGTTGTTACACATTGGAATGGACTGCCCAGTGAGTTGGTGAAATCACTATCCCCAGAGATATTTAAAAGACTTGTAGATGTGACAATTAGGGACATGGTTTAGTGGCAGACTTGGCAGTGCTGGGTTAACAGTCGGATGGACTCAAGGATCTCAAGGCTCTTTTCCAGGTTAAATGATTCTGTAATTCTTGACTTTCAATTTTTATTTTCTGTAGATGTATCTGTGTTTTTAAATGTACTTGTATCTCCTGGGGAAAAGGTACTGACTGGAGTACTTATTCTCATAACTAATGTCCTAGCACTTTAAATAAACATTTCAAGGTGACAACTTTTCCTCTGTGTAGCTGGTGAAAGAGAAAAAGAAGCATCTGTTTCCTTGGAAAGCAAATATCATGGTTCCTTTCATGAATAATAAAAGATTATGCATAATTACAGCTATGTAAAAGGTTACCTTTTTATATCTTTCTGTAGATAGATATGCATATAACTACTTTACTACTCTGTACCTGTATATTTATATGCTAAAATAATATTCTTGCTGAGATTATAACAAGATTTAGATTAACCTGGTGAAGATTTCAGATTAACCTTATTATTTCCATATCATCTTCTCAGGATAATGAATTAAAATATGTAATTGAAGCTATCTCTCTTTATTTTCTTTTATATTCAGTTCTTCTCTGAAATAATTGTGTAAGCATTAATCTTATTTAGAAAATTGTGTGCTTTTCTGTGTGCTCTGAGTCACAACTGATTATAATAGGAATTAAAAGTTGTTTCTAACTATATTGCACTAAAAAAGCAAGAAAAATCCATATTTTCTTCTTGAAAATCTTAGAAAAATTAATTAAGTTTTAATTCTTTCTTCCTGGTGGTATATGAATAAATTTTGGGAGAAAATATTTGCATTTCAGGCAGTTAGAAACTTTATCTATTTATTTTAGTACTTTTTAATGTGAAATGCTGCAGACAGTATACCTGGTACCCCATGAGGCTCTTTTCCAGTTCGCATTGAGGAGGAAGCTCATGCTGAGCTTCTGTGGCTGGGAGGACGCGGTCGATGCCATCCCATCACCCCTCACAGTGCAGAGGGCTGTGCTCAGATCACCTGCTGTGCATGCCTAATTTAGGTGTCACAACGAAGTCTCTCCAGGTTTGTCAAGCAGTCCAAATCAATTGTTAGTCTCTTGAATGTAAGTCACACGGAGGTCTCTCTCTGTAGCAGTTTCTGATTTTCCTGCTCCTCTCAATGTCACTCTCTTTCCCATTTGAGCTGCTACAAGAGCT